CTGACCCACAGAACCATAAAGTTGGACGTGCACAGCAGCACTCCATCATTAAATGGAAGTGGTATATTCGAAATTGGGCCCGAGCTGGACCCGAAGGCACAAGTAAGTTGCATGAGGAAGTGGCCCAAATGCCCATGGTCTCCACTCCTGTCACATTACCTTCCATCTCCCAGGCTGCACCTATGGCCTCATGGGGAGTTCCTTATGATCAGTTGACTGAGGAAGAGAAAACTCGTGTCTGGTTTACAGATGGTTCTGCATGATATACAGGCGCCAACTGAAAGTTGACTGCGGCAACACCACAGCCCCTTTCTGGGACCTCCCTGAAGGACAGTGGTGAAGGGAAATCCTCTCAATGGGCAGAACTTTGAGCAGTACACCTGGCTGTTCACTTTGCTTGGTATGAGAAATGGCCAGATGTGCGATTATATACTGATTTATGGGCTGTGGCCAGTGGTTTGGCTGGATGGTCAGGGAGTTGGAAGGAACATGATTGGAAAATTGGAGACAAGGATTTATGGGGAAGAGGTATGTGGACAGACCTCTCTGAATGGGCCAAAGAAGTGAAGATATTTGTGTCTCATGTGAATGCTCACCAAAGGGTGACCTCAGCAGAGGATGATTTTAACAATCAAGTGGATAGGATGACGCATTCTGCGGAAACCACTCATCCTCATTTCCCAACTACTCCCGCCATTGCTCAATGGGCTCATGAACAAAGTGGCCATGGTGGCAGGGATGGAGATTATGCATGGGCCCAGCAGCATGGACTTCCACTCACCAAGGCTGACATGGCCACAGCCTCTGCTGTGTGCCTAATCTGCCAGCAGGAGAGACCAACACTGAGTACCCGATATGGCACCATCCCTCGAGGTGATCAGCCAGCAACCTGGTGCCAAGTTGATTACACTGGACCACTTCCATCATGGAAAGGGCAGCGTTTTGTCCTTACTGGAATAGACACTTACTCTGGATATGGATTTGTCTTCCCTGCATGCAATGCTTCTGCCAAAACTACCATCCATGGACCTACAGAATGCCTTATCCACTGTCACAGTATCCCACGCAACACTGCCTCAGATCAAGGGACTCACTTCACAGCAAATGAAGTGTGGCAGTGGGCCCATGCTGATGGAATTCACTGGTCTTACCATGCTCCCCATCATCCTGAAGCAGCTGGCTTGATAGAACGATGGAATGGCCTTCTAAAGACAGAATTACGGCACCAGTTAGGTGGCAATATCTTGCAGGGTCGGGGCGATGTTCTCCAGGAGGCTGTATATGCTTTAAACCAGCGTCCAATATATGGTGCTGTTTCTCCCATAGCCAGGATTCATGGGTCCAGGAATCAAGGGGTGGAAATGGGAGTGGCACCACTCACTATTACCCTTAGTGACCCACTTGCAAGATTTTTGCTTCTTGTCCCCTCGACCTCATGTCTGCAGGCCTAGGGGTCTTAGTTCCAAAGGGAGGAATGCTCCCAACTGGAGACACATCGCTGATTCCATTGAACTGGAAGTTAAGAATGCCACCTGGCCACTTTGGGCTCCTTATGCATCTGGATCAACAGGCAAAGAAGAGAGTTACCATACTGGCTGGTGTGACTGATCCTGATTACCAAGAGGAAATCGGATTGATATTACATAATGGAGATAAAGAAGAGTATGTCTGGAATGTAGGAGATTCCTTCGGGCGTCTCTTAGTACTACCATGCCCTGTGATTAAAGTCAATTGAAAACTACAGCAACCTAATTCTGACATGACTACTAATGACACAGACCCTTCAGGAATGAAGGTTTGTGTCACCCCAACAGGCAAAGAACCATGACCAGCCAAGGTGCTTGCTGAGGGCAAAGGGAATACAGAATGGGTAGTGGAAGAAGGTAGTTCTAAATACTAGTTACGGCCACATGACTAGCTGCAGAAATGGGGACTGTAATTGTTATGAGTATTTCTGCTTTGTGTGTGCATCAAATATTTTTGTTTCCTTCACTTATAAAATATAAGCTGTAAACGGGGCTAGTGTGTTTTCGATTGTATGCATGTTAGCTATATCATGTTAGGCACAAGTATGACTTTCTAATTGTCTTTATTCAGAGATTATGTATGGTTTAAGGA